AAAAAAAAAAAAAAAAAAAAAAAATGGGGTGATTCTTGTTCTGTGTCTGCACGTCTGCTTCTATGTGTATGTATGTGTAGGTAGTGTTTATATATATATATATATATATATATATATGTCTGTGTTTATTTGTTTGTTTATTTGTTTTTTTTTTCTTTTCTGGTGTTTCTTTTCTTTCATTTGCGTCATTTTCTTTTATTTTCTTTTCTTCTTTTTGGAGTTTCTTGATTTTCTTATTCTTTCTCCATCAAGTTCTTAGGAAGGGAAAAGGCATCGTCTGAGAGAGAGGGAGAAAAGCTTTCTGTCATCACTGCCACGATAGAGAGAGATAGTGGAAACACAAAAACAAAAAGAGAAAGAATAATCATATTACAGAATATATATATATATATATATATATATATAAACAATCCTATCTTGTCTATTTATTCCACTCTTCTTATCATTTAGTCTCAGCTAATAATAATAATATTATTATTATTGTTTCTTCTTCTTTATTATTATTATTATTATTATTATTATTCACTTGTTATAATCAAAAAAAAAGAAATAATAATAAAAAAAAAAAAAAAAAAAATGGATCCCAACGCTGGAGTGTCGGTGGAGGAGATGATGGACCTGCCGCGGCCGGCCAATCACGTAGAAGAGCGGGAGGATCCACTGCGGCAGCCGGAGATCTCGCAGGAACACGTCGAACAGGCCCGGGCGGCAGGCACAAATCCCGCAAACACCGCAGACGCCAAAAGACGACTCATGCGGGATTTAAAACAATTACAGCGGAGTGGCAATACGTGTTTCTCAGCCAGTCCCATCAATGGCGATCTCTTTCACTGGAGAGCTGTGGTGATTGGGCCAGATCACACCTCATGGGAGGGTGGTATCTTTAAACTTCGATTGGACTTCACAAATGAATATCCATGTTCCCCACCAGTGGTGCGGTTTGTGACAAAGAATGTTTTTCATCCAAATGTGTACGTCGATGGAAGTATTTGTTTGGATACACTGAAGACTCACTGGAGCCCCACACTTGATGTAGAGTCATTGCTTATGATGATCATTTCACTTCTTTCGGATCCTAACCCATTATCCGCTGCGAATGGTGAGGCGGCGCAACTATACACAAACTCAAGAGAGAAATATCATGAACGGGTGCGGCGACTTGTGGAGGAATCTCTTGAACAGGATTTCTCAGAAGAAGATGAATAAGTGAAGAGTAGGGAATTGGTAAATGTATTTCATTGAGCCCATGGGCTAACGAGTCTTTGCTTTTTTTTTTTTTTCCGGTTTTTTAAAAAAAAAAAGGAGGGGAGGGGAGGTGGGGGCGCAAAAGGGGTGAAGAGAACTAACTAGAAAGAGAGAAAAGAAAACAAAAGGAAAGAAAGCACAAAAAAGAAAAAAGAAAAGTAGGCATTCGCATATGAGAAAAAAAAAAAATAGTAACAATATGCGAATGCCTCCTTTTTTTTTTTTTTTCCTTTGCTTTCTTTCCTTTTGTTTTCTTTTCTCTCTTTAAAGGTTTATACACATGATTCCTTGAACCTCGTTATCATGATTCACTCACTTTGCTACTCTTTATTATTAGGTCTCTCAGTTGATTTTTCTTTCTCCACTTTTTAATATTCTCTGTGTGGCTTCTTTTTGCTTCTACACGTGTCTGAGAAATAAAGGGGAGTAGTTGCATCAGCAGCAGAAGTCATATATTGGGTATATATATATATATATATATATATATATATATATATATA